AAAGTATTTTCCTCCATTTGGCTTCGCAAACACGTCCTTGTGAAGTGGAAGTGGGTATTGATGAGGCTCCAATGCGACATCTAACCCAGTTGAGAAGTCGGCACACAAGCGAATAATACCGTTGGGTTTCCTGCTCACAACAATGAGAGTAGCCCATGGCGAGAAATTGATTTGCTCGATCACACTAGCCCACTGTAGCCGTTCAAGTTCCTGTTTCACAAGTAATTTTGAAACGTCTGAATCGAAATACTGCCTTTGCGTCGGGTAAAAGAGTCAGTTTTGCCCACTCGGGTCGGAGGACATGAGCGGATTCCATGTACAGCACTTGGGAGAGGCTTCCACTTGGATGATTCCGTATGGCAGTATGGCGGATCATGACATTTGTTTCAGAACACCCACGATCCGGTGGCTCCTCGAGTAGATTTAACTTCACAATCCAATCCATTCCGAGTTGATTTATATCGGTACAAGAAGCTAGGTAAATGCACCATGGAGTTGTAAATTTTTGAATTCAAGTTCTCTCGATGCGTTTTGAACCGAGAGAATTGTAGGTTTGACTGGAGGTTCGTTCAGCTTAGCCCATGTCGATCGGGAAATGATGGTGATGTCAGACGCCGTAGTTAGATGCAACGATACTGGGACATCGTTGAGTTTGACAGTCAGGTATTTTCTCTTGCTTACGAATTCTGTGCGGAATGTGGCGAGAATCGCTTTCGTCTTTACATCCTAGAATCTGGTCCTTCTGAACTTGGAGTAAAAATGCGTCTAAAGTTGTGCGGTCCTCGACAGCGGGTTTCTTTATGACCAATGCGTTTACCTTTATGACGTTGATGATTCTTGTCCTCACAGTCTGTCACAAAGTGCCACTTGCTACAGTTCCAACACGCAGTGAGGGGCTTCCGATTCTGCACCTCTCGATTCACATATTTTCTGCGGACGGCTGTACGACAGATGTGGGAGCTCGTTTCCGGAATCCGAATTTTTCACCATTTTTGTGTCATGTTTCAGATTCAGCAGCCTCTGGCATTCAGTTGCCATCTCCTGCAGTGTCAGCTGTGGTTCTCGTTCCAATTTGTGGAGGATACGCGTTCGAACATCGGCGTCCGCATGGGATTGAAGGCTGCATACGAAGGTAGGGCTCTTGAACCAGTCAGGTGTCATGGTGCTCAGTTTAAAACATTCACACTCTCGGTTTACGATACCAGCATGTGTGTCGAAATCATCTCCATCTTGTTTGACCAATTTTAAGCATTTATACCAGATACTGAATAAGGACGCTTGCTCACCAAATATCTGTGTCACTGTTTTCACTGTTTCCTCGAAACTGAAGTCTCTTGGATTCTGGGGTAGCACGAAAGTTGTATACCGTTCATGCTCAACTGTCCCGAGCTTTCTCAACAACAATCGGACCTTCTAGACGTCATCCCGCTCAGCCATCTCTACGCGGAACATATCTTCACACATTTGGAACCACGATTCGTATATGGCACCAGTCAATCCGTCGAAAACGAACTCCGAAATCGATGCTGTAGCAGCGTCCACAGAATGTCGTGCAGCTGGTCCAAGAAATTCTACCCTAATGTTCAGCGTTTGCGATAGCAACTCGATTAACTGCCGCTGCGAGTTTTTGAGCTGCAGATACTGTAGTAGCGCCTGTATTTGTTCAAAGCAAATGGCCATGGTTCGCCAACTTCTCCGTCGCCAGAAACTGTTATGTCGCCGCTGACTGTTCACGCCCCCACGACCGCAAGAAGAACACGAAGATGAGCCAGAACCGAGTTGTATGCATGAGAACACTGCTTCCTTATATAGAGTACAATAGTTTATCAAACAAAGCTATCAAAACACGTTGGATCTTACCAACATCATGGGAAACAAAGAATAATACGGACGAATGAGGAGTGGCAAAGGAAAGAACCAGTCAGATGAGTTCGAGGAAACGGTATTAGTGGAAATAGGTCTCTGAAATAGCATCTATTATGAACTACGTAGGCCAGCTGATCGAAGCAAAGGACTGATGCGTTTGAACAATTATCAAGGAACAAACGATGGCGAAACGAAAGTAGGCGACTAATGATTGTAACAAAAAAGCTATGTCCATTGCGCATCCTCCTAACATATAGTTAGAGGACTTGTGATGTACTGTTATTTAGAGTTCTTTCTAATAGCTTTCAAGTCAGATAGCTAACCACACATCTGGAGAGGCACTAGACGGCTGTTTCGTCCACTTGAACTCTGCTCAATTATCTACCATAGTCATCATTGCACATGATTAGTTTACTCACCTTGCACTTGAGTGCCCTTCCCTCCTCCTTTTGAATCGGACTACATAAGTCTCCAGTCTCGGGGTGCCCTTTCATCGCATTCAGATGGTTCCACTGTGGTATTCCACAGTTTCCACCCGCATTTGTAGCAGCTCATCGCATTTGTCTGCGTAGTTTATCTTTTAACTAGACATACACTGGTTGCGATACAACATATTTGAAATCGCCACGAGCCCATTCGTTGTCGAGCGACAGTGCTTTATAAAAGAATAAATGTAGCGTGATATTTCTACTTATGAATGGAATTTGGTAGCACTTGGATTTCAAGGCATTGAGATGAAAGCTGGTTAGAAACTCCTATGTATGAGTCATCTTGGCAACTTGGAAGAATTTTTTCCACTGAAGCAAATGGATGCAGTAGACGTTGTTTGACACGTTAACACTCGTTGCACTAGTTGACGTGTTTCGTACTAGTTGGTTACAGACATCGTTTATTTTTCTACGCATGAAAATTTCCAATTAGTAATTCTATGAAAATCACTGACTTTTGTTTCAGATAAGCCACACCACTTAAGCCGGTGATTCACACGCCTCTTACAACGCTTTTCCGCAGCACTGCTTTGCGCGCTGCAGTCCGTCTCGATGTTGCTTTTGACCTCCCCCAAATTAACAATCGTTGTGTATTTTTCTCTCGGGATCTTCAATCACATCCAATAACAATGTGAACACCGAGGTGCAACGAGCTCGTTTATCACAACATGCATTATCACGGTAAGGACAGTTGATGTCTAATAATCAGACTATTCAGTTGGATTGTGCCCCGCACTGCTGAGACCTATGCTGTTTTTCTATTTACTTGGGGAACTTGGTAATGAAACGCCATTATCTCTAAAGGAAATACAGAGGCAAGTAAACAACAAAGTTACCGTCAACTGGGGAAGTTGTCAGCTGAAATTAGGGTACCGAATACAGGAGTGTACTTGACTCCTTACTTTCGCCATGTTTGGGGGGGGGGGGGTCAAAAACCCCCATTGCGTGGAAAACAGTATACACTCACCCGACTGGTCTTATGATCGGTTTCTTCAGTTTATTACCTTGCCACTTCTTGACCACTGAATCTTCGCTTAACTATAGGCATAACTTTGGCATATAATAATAATAATAATGCATCAGCTATACGCCGTAACGGCGCTTTACTGCCGTGTGACCACCACCAGTCGCATGCGGGCTGTGTATACCGGGAGGACGTCCACTCCTACGCCGATTCGAACCCTCGCCGCATGTAACTATGTCGCAGTCTCTTGTCGGAAACCATCCATTGAACCTGACCTAGCTAGACTATGTAGTCCAACTTCAGTGAACATTTTATTGCAGCACCAGACGTCGGTTGCTATAGGTTGTTTTTGACGACAAGAATGTGCATCTCTTTCTGGTCGGCCCGTAACCTTAAGGTTCACAAGCCTGCTTTGCAATCCGTGGACGCGGGTTCTAGTTTGCTTAAGGACCGGGTAACCCTCAGTAGTATCCTTAGCCTACGCTCGACTGTTGGTGTTTGCGCGGCAGCGAGGCGTTCGTACTGTGTAATAACGTACTTCTGATGTCTGTTCCTTTTGCCGCCTTTTTCGGACCGTTCGTCGACAGGTTCTCTCTAGCTCATTTGCGGTTGACAGTGGCTGCGGCCACATCACATAGTCCGATCGAATATCTTCGTTACTATAAATATATTGTGTTAGTGTGATCAGTGCCATCAATTCTCCGCAGGACCACGTTTTTGTGAATGCGTTTCTGGTTATAACTGCCTCTTGTTTCCGCCACGCTCTGGCGATCTGGTATCAACACTACTAGTCGGTCGAACGAATATGGCTTACAACTATTTCACGCACGATAAAGTAACCAACAAAATTCGAAGTTGTACGACTCGTGAGACTTAGACACAACACGGTTACTACGCGCGAGTTGAACGGGCTCCTAGACCGAACGCAATTTCCCACGCAGCTACCCAACCCCAGAGAACAAGACAAAAGACAGGCCTTCCGCGTAGGCACTTTTATCGGCCAGGCTCAAGGTGATTACAGCGTATTCCAGAGTTTATTGTGTATCTTGTTAGTGCCAATTATCTGGGTAAGCAAACCTTGGAAGCAACTGTATTGGTACTATGCAAATATGCCAACGGAACATGTTGAAAAGTGAGTGTTGGTAGATGCGGAGGTTGGACTGCAAAACTGAATGTTTCTTAGGTAAAAAAAACTGAATGATTTAGGATTGCGGTGCTTGGCCGGAAATAAGAAAGTTTTCTGAAGTAAAACAGCCAATCGAAACATGAATGTCTCGAGCGTTGAAAAGCTGATCGAAACATTTACACTTGTCTTCCGTGGTTGAAGCCTTGTAATCATTGTGGGGACATTGGGTCCCCATAACAGTTTCCATCCATACGGTGATTCTGTGAGGTCTTGGCTTTTTTTTTAGAGCTATTTGTCATATCCGGGTTGATGAGTTGTATTGCCACCGTAGTACGCATGCTTGAGTGGTCCTTCCAGTTCGTTTATTTGTCATGTATTGCGGGCTCCACCTGTCCTGCTGACTGCAGCTCGACTCTGATGGTACCCAGAGTGGCTCAGTAGATCTGGATGTACGCCAGCTGTCGTATCACTTTGAGGTCTAGTTTCTGCACGATAGTTTTGTTTCCTTCTACCTCAGTATCTCTTTACACCTTTTTTCTCCACTTTAAATTTCAAGGTAAACGTTTCTCGCCAACTGGCTACTCCTCGCGACAAAGATCCCGTGCTTCCGGTTTCTTTCTCCGAAGTATTCCTGGTTGCTTTGTCTCCCCCTGTTGCGGATTATTACTGGATATGTACCTATGAAAGACTGCGGAAGATGCGAGGCAGACAAATCGATGATCAGTCCCGGATCACTTGGTGGAACTATCACAACCAGAGCCTCCCCGATGATATTACTGCACAAAACGCGCTATCTTCCTTGTGAGTCTACTGAATTATCGCATTTGTGCGCACATCTTTCATTATCCCTTCCGCCACTGATTTTCGTCTTTGTTCAACATCTGTTAGAGCCTGTGCCTTTTGTAAATTCTTTTCAAAAACAATTTCCTTCCTCACAACCTCGCAATCTAGGCGATGTATATATATATATATATATATATATATATATATATATATATATATATATATATATATGTATATATATATATATATATATATATATATATATATACGGGTGATATTCTCAATGCTCGATTGGCGTAGAGCACGAGTGCCACGCATTGTCTCTGACGGTGGGAGGACACCTCCGGGTGTTCAATGGTTTGCTACTGCCCGCCTCAAGCCAGGCAGCCCCTGGTCAAATTGGTGCAAACCCGCCAAAAACCCACCTGCGTCTGGCTGTGGTCGCAGGTGCGTATCCAATTACGGTCGCAAAACATATGATAACTGTTCCAGAACCTCAAAGGCTGCGTGTGACGGCCGTCAAGCAGATCCCAATCTGTCTCTGCAATCACATTCCCGAGCTGGATCTGCTCTCCACTGCCTTGTGGGTCAGGCTATTGAGCCAAAGGCTCCGGGCGGAGTCCCTCAAGCAAACCTCCAAACCACCCACTGCCTTGTGGGTCAGGCTATTGAGCCAAAGGCTCCGGGTGGACTCCCTCAAGCAAACCTCCAAACCACCCACTGCCTTGTGGGTCAGGCTATTGAGCCAAAGGCTCCGGGTGGAGTCCCTCAAGCAAACCTCCGAAGGACAACGACCACCTCGCGTGCGATTGCCCACCAATGCAATCGTATGCCTGCGCGCAAAGCACTCAGCATCGGGTGCTGGAACGTGCGCACACTACTGACCGGAACTCGAGCGAGCGCCCGGAGCGACGCACTGCACTGGTCGCAATGGAGCTGGCGCGCTACCACATCGATATTGCGGCGCTCAGTGAAACTCGGCTCGCTGAGCAAGGTAAGTTACATGAAGCAGGTGCTGGCTACACATTCTACTGGGTGGGGAACGCCGCCTCAGCACCACGTGAACATGGGGTCGGATTTGCAATATCCGCCCGCCTGAATGGCCAGCTGGTGGGTGAACCAACGGGCATCAGCGCGCGGCTGATGACTGTTCGCATGCGACTCGGAAGAGGTAAGTTTGCTACTTTTATAAGCACGTACGGTCCGACCATGTGTTATCCTGATGACACGCGTGATCAGTTCTACACTGAGCTATCCTCCGTGATACGGTCTGTGCCGAGGAGCGACCGACTATTTCTGCTGGGTGATTTCAACGCGCGCGTTGGGCGTGATGCATCAGCGTGGACAGATGTTATCGGTTCGCATGGCATTGGTTCAGCGAATGCGAACGGTGACAGGCTGCTCTCGCTGTGTGCCACTCACGGCCTGACGATCACGAACACTCGGTTTGCACTGAGTGCGAGTGATATAGCAACTTGGACGCACCCACGGAGTGGTCACGCTCACCTGCTCGACTATGTCATCGTACGTCAGCGTGATATGCGTGAAGTGCGCATGACACGTGTACTGCGTGGAGCTGAGTGTGGCACTGATCACAAATTGGTTCGGACCAAACTGTACATATATTTTCGTAAATCGATGTATTGTACTCCCGCCGTGAATCGGCGTAAATTTAACATTCTCTCCCTCGGTACTGTGGCGAAACGTACTGAGCTGGAGAAGGCGATGGCTGCACGCCTGTGTGGTGATGTGGACTGCATAGCCACAGTGGGCGACCTGTGGCACCACATTCGCGACCAGGTGACAGCTGCTGCGGAGGAGACCATCGGGCGCGCAAACTGTAAGCGGCCTGATTGGTTTGATGACAACAATGTGACGATTGACGCATTGGTGTCAGAGAAGAATGCAGCATTTGCTGCACATATGGCAGATCCCAGTGACTTGGGGAAGAGTAGTCAGTTTCGCAAACTTCGACGGCGACTGACCCGATAGCTCCGTCGCATAAAAAATGCATGGTGGACGGAGAAGGCGAAGCAGATGGAATGCTACGCCGAACGCCGTCAACACAAGGAATTCTTTGACTCCTTGAAGGCGGTGTATGGACCGAGATTGGAGCCGCTGAGGACACTGATCGATGCTAGTTCAGGCGCTACCTGCACCCAGACTGCAGACATAATGCAGGTCTGGCGGAAACACTTTGACTGTCTCTTGAACAACCGTTCAGAGATCGACTGGCCTACATTGAATGGCCTGAAGCAGCACGATGTGAAGGCGGATCTGGCGGATACGCCGAGACTGGATGAGACGCAGAGAGCACTTGCTCAGCTGCGAAACGGCAAATGTGCTGGGGGTGACGGGATCCCACCTGAAGTATTGAAACACGGTGGACCCGCGTTGTTGACTGCGCTGCACCACTTGGTGCAACGCGTGTGGATTGAGGAGGAGGTGCCTGCTGAGCTGAAGGATGCCCTTGTGCTACCACTGTACAAGGGCAAAGGGAGCAAGCAATGTTGCACGAATTATCGTGGCATCAACTTGCTGAGTTGTGTGGGCAAGGTGATTGCCCGAATCCTGCTCAATCGCCTCGTGAGTCAGATTGTGGAACCAAACGTGGCGGAAGAGCAATGTGGATTCCGTTCGGGTCGCAGCACTATAGATATGGTGTTTGCGGCTCGTCAGTTGCAAGAGAAGTGCAGAGAACGACACCAGCCATTGTACTCGCTTTTTGTTGATTTCACCAAGGCATTTGATACGGTGAACCGCGAGGCACTGTGGCTGGTGTTGGGTAAGTTTGGTTGCCCGCGTAAGTTTGTAAGTTTAATTGAATGTCTGCACAGTGGTATGCGAGCGAGGGTGCAGCTGAGTGGAGAAACCTCTGATGACTTTGCAGTTGTCTCTGGTGTGAAGCAAGGCTGTGTCTTAGCTCCTGCCCTGTTTAATATCTATCTTCATGCAATGTTGTCTTGTGCTTTTGATGCGGCTTGTGCTTACGGTGTTCGTGTAGAGCACCGTATTGATGGTGGGTTGCGGAACATCCGTCGTTTCGGTGCGAGAACTCTAGTCTGTGAGACAACTATCCGTATGTTGCTGTTTGCTGACGACTGTGCGTTGTTTTCACACAGCGCGGATGAGTTGCAGCACATGACTAGTGCTCTGGCTTCGACAGCGGCCAAATTCGGGCTCACCATCAACACAAGCAAAACTGTCTGTCTCTTTCAGCCTTCACCGGAGGTGCAATCTTCAATATTGCCGCGAATCAGCATTGGTGCTGAATTGTTGGAAACCACCTCCCGCTTCTGCTACCTTAGGAGTGTGATGTCGACTGATCAGCAGATACACGTTGAGTTGCGTAATCGCGTGTCGAAGGCGGCAGCGGCATTCGGGAAGCTAGAGTACCGAGTGTGGAACAACCATCAGCTTAGCATTGGCACGAAGCTGATGGTGTACAAATCCATGGTACTGTCCGTTCTTCTATACGGCAGTGAAACGTGGACGATGTACCGTCGGGATGTGCGATATCTCGAGCGGTTCCATCAGCAGTGTCTGCGACGAATTTTGCGGATCGGCTGGGGCGCCAGAGTTGCAGACACGGAAGTTTTGCGCCGAAGTGGGATGTATGCAGTGGACGGCATACTTTTACTGCGACACCTGAGATGGCTCGGTCATGTGAGCCGTATGGATTCGACGCGAATACCGAAACAACTTTTGTACGGTCAGCTGAGTATTGGGAAGCGGCACGTGGGGAAACCAAAGTTACGTTACCAGGACATGATTAAAGTGAGCCTCACACGTTCTAACCTTGATTGCAGATCATGGGAATCGAAGGCGGTTGATCGGCGTGCATGGCGCGATCTAATCACGAAGGCAGTTGCTGAAGTGCGGGAGAAAGCCCTCATGCATGCAGAGAAGAAGCGGCAAGTGCGGAAGCGGCAAGCACCAATGAATTGTACTCCATCGTCATCGAGCGCATTGTGCTGTAGAACATGCGGTCGCGAGTGCCTTAGTCAGGCAGGCCTAGTGAGCCATGAGAGAGGTCACTCGGGACCACTGCCGAAGCGACGACGGGTCCCGCAGTGAACGTAGGCAGCACCGGCGCAGCGTTTGTAGGCACGCTGAATTCGATTTACTAACCGCATGCTTGCATGCTAAGTCTCTTTATTTCAGGTGGTGGGTTTTCGGTTCTCTCCTAATGCCTTTCTTTCTCATATAAATGTCTAGTGGGCCATGAGCTGTGCCATTTGGGACCACTACAGAAGCGACGACGGGTCCTGCAGAGAATTACGGCGAACCGGCGCAGCGTTTGTAGGCACGCTGAATTCGATTTACTAACCGCGTGCTTGCATGCTAAGTCTCTTTATTTCAGGTGGCGGATTTACAGTTTTTACTTTACTTTTACTTTAATGCTTTTCTTTCTCATATAAATATCTCCCTGTACTCTATTCCATTAACTTGCACACATCGCCTAAGCCAATTGCATTTGATTTCCATAATATTTTTGTGTTCGTGGCATTCCGTGAACTATATTTCCTGACCTCGTGCACTTAGCTAGGATCTGTTTGTAAACAGTTTATTACATATGCTATTTAATTAAGGTTTATATCACCGTTTCCTTATGCATTAATCGAGTTTTTCTCTTTTTCAGTCTCTCTCTCTCAAGTGTTTGGCTGTTGTTTGATATCCCCGGTGTGGATGCGCTTGATGTGCATGTTGACAAGGTGCCTACCTGTCTACTACCCACTACCTCGTCTATACTGGCTCCAGGAGACAGTTGGTCGTTGCTGGAGGGGACGGGGTGCACGGTTCTTGTGGCCGTGTTAGGATCAAAGAGTGGTTCCATGCACTCAGTGTGGAGCGGACTACGGTCCAGCCACCGCCTTGTGTGCGCTTGATTCCCAAATAGAGTGTGCTTGTGTTTGCCTGTGAAGGAGTGTGGGCCGGCTCCGTTGATGAAACGTGGTTCCCATCCGCATGCCTCCCGGTCTTATTCCTTCGGGTTTACACTGGATATGGGGATGTGTGGTTGGAGCTGTGGGTGGTGCAGCGCAAGCCATCCATGGTCCCTCTGTAGGCGCAGGCGTCCTGTGGCTTGCCACAGTGACAGGCAAATCCGAAACCGGATGCCGCCAACCATATATATATATATATATATATATATATATATATATATATATATATATATATATATATATATATATATATATATATATATATATATATATATATATGCGCAGGCGTCCTGTGGCTGTCCTATGGAGGCCTCAGTGACAGGCAGGTGTTCCTTATTTGTCTAGTATGTCCAATAAGTATTAGGATCTATGAGTGATAATTGAGATTTAATGATTTCCAAACGGTAGTCTCTTTTACTCAGACAAAGATTGTATAACAATGAGGAAAATTTATGCGTGTTTTTCCGGATGTGAATCCGCATCAATGTGGGCGACCTCGCGGTATATTCAGGCCACGCGTGATTATTTCTGGGGGTAGCGAAGCGACGGTATGGTGCACTGGCGTACTGCCGACGCCTTTTCTTTCGTGCGCTGCTCTCTCAACGTAAAATGGAATGCAATCACGCAGGTGATGTCTCTCATAAGAAAATGCGCTCTACCGAGTGATGATGCCGCCACAGGAGCACCATGATTGTAAGTCTGTTGGCAGATACAATTTCTTTATGGCCTCTATGTTCGTTGGATTCATTGTCGATGGCCATCCTTTCCAAAGATAAAGCCCGAGGTATATGATAGTCGCCGTGCAAACGTGCATTTGTCTTCACGGATGCGGAAACCACACGATTGGATATGACCATGCACTTCTTCCAACCGCTTATTTAGCTTTATCTGTTCGGTCTATTACCATGACGTCATCCAGATATGTGGCGGCTCCAGAAATTTTCGCGAGCATGGTGCCCACCAATTATCGGACCCTCTTCTTCCTCTTTTTCTGCTTCCTGTCTTTCTCTGCTCACAACCCTCTTCTTCCTCGTCTACTGAGCAAAGACTGTCGCAGCTACTGTCATCGGTACCAATAGCTCGTCCACCAAACCTAAAGTCTCATTTCACATTGATACTTTAAACGTCTGCACTTCGCGTCAGATCGCCCAAACAGGCAGCACTAACTCCCTTGGTACTGATGTATGCGATGTCTCAGAAGCACGTGTACAAGACAACAAGGTACACGTGGAACTGTCTCCTGTGTTCCCCACGACAGGTGGGGTTCGCCAGGACTGTCCTTTCAACTTCGTGATCGTAATGACCATGAATGATTCCGCTTCCCATAGGCTCCACCATCTATGGAGACAGCGGAATATCAGCTTGTCATTAGGGTGTATAACGCTGCGAGATGGCCTGTGTTATCATATGGGTAAGAGACCTGGCCAGTTCGCGGCGAAAACATTAAACGCTTGGCCTTGTTCGACCACCGGTGCTTGCGAAGTAGTGGTCACGTTTGGTGGGAACACCGGTTGAGCAATGCTAAGGTCCGCCAGTTATATTTTTGGCAAGAAGCCTTCTGGTGCATCACTTTATTGCTGAATCTTAGTCGCTTGCATTGGTTAGGCCATGTATGCTCGTTGACCGGCTTTGTCGCCGTGCATTACTCGCCATATTGGACGAAACCGCGAGGTTGTCAGTCCATGACGTGGCACAGAAGCTTTAAAAAATCGACTTGGTCAGACTGGTTAGTGTCGTCTTCGTGGATGGGGGCGTCGGGACCTTCGACGGCAATGTTTAGAGACCGTATCAGATATGGCGGCACGCAGTCAGTGGCGTTCTTGCACTCGATTTGTTGCATCTGATTGTTAATTTTTGCTCCATTCAGATTAGTTTAACGCACCTTGCTTTCTTTTTCTTTACATTCAACTCTACTATCTTACCGTTGTTATTTATTGCTATTCTTGCGTTGTGAGTCGTAGCAACTGGATCCACCGCACTTCGGTGCTCGGATCATGGTTGTTTAAGTGAACTGAACCAAGCGTTGGAAAATGGCTGGTGCCGTTTTCACACCAAAAGACAAGCGGTTGTCTTGGAGCAGCCAACATGAATGTTGATCATTAACAGCTCTCACAAGTGTTCGGCAACATCCACCTGGAAGTAAGCATCGGATAAGTCGATCTTGGCAAAACACTTACCACCATTAAATTTTGCGAAGATGTCTTCCCTTATGGGTAATGGTTACAGGTGGTCAAGCGCAGCGTTCAGGACAATTAAGAAATGAGCACAAACGCGTACCTTTCCGTTCGCTTTCTTTATTACAACAATGGGTGCGTCCCTTAAGAGTAGTTCACATGTGTGTTGATGCCGGCTCGTTCCAGTCGATCTAGTTCCTGGTCGGCTGTTGGCATATATGCATACGTAATGCATTGGCCTTGAAGGTTGCCTTGCCTCCTGGGTGCAGGCACATCGCTGCATTGAATTTTGGGTAATGGCCGAGCCCATCTTTATACAGCGACTGCGTCACGTCTTCGACTGACTTCCTTGCAGGGTCTGCATTCGGTCGGGCTCGGTTATAGGTCTGGTTCATTTGAACATCGTAGTTCTAGCCTTTCGATCCATTTGTTTCCACATGAATTATAGTTCGGTCGATCCGTCTGATAACATCCTCCAGTCCTTCCTACTATGTTAAATGCAATTTTGTGAGTGACTTCTCCAACCAGATTCAGCACTCCGCTAGACGCGTTGTAAGCCACTTTGTCAGAAACCACAATCTTCGGTCTATTGAGGTGATTTCATGAGCTCTTGGGATTAATGGTTATACCAGAAGTCCTATCATACAGAAGCTTCGAGTGAATCCTGTTTATAAGTACGACGATGGGTCTGAACTCTCTGGAATGTTGCAACGGTTGATGGAGTCCGAACCACTGTTTTGATCTTCTTGAAACGGAATGGTTTTAGGTCTAGTGGTTGAGAGTACTTGCAGAGTTCTTCCTTATGACCTCGTTTGGGACACTTGTCAGATGGACCTCTTGACTGGGTAGAATCGGGCAAAATGCCACTCGCCGCATGATCACTGGGTAGTAGGCTCTCTATTATGTGGTTTCCGAGAGGAATTGTCAGGTCTGTTTCGCTTGGAATTTTGTCGCAGCATGGACGATTCGCGATTGTGCTAATGAATCCTCCACAATGGCTGTGTCATGTTTCAACGTCAACAGTCGCTTGCACTCGACCGTAAGGGACTACAGTGTAGTGTCTGGGTATTGACACAGCTTCTAGAAGAGGCTTGTGTGTATCTCTGCGTCCTTCGGTGACCGTTAGGCATAGCTAAGTATGAGACATTTGAAACGTGTATTTCCATTTGTAATTCAAAACAGAAAAATCAGATGTAAACTGTGGAATGACTCAGTCACTTAGTGCAAGCCCCTTAATCACAAATCATGCAGAACTCATAGATATACCAAATACGATCCAGTCGTTGACCAAGCGTCCCGCCTCACACTACCAAGTTAAGATTCATACTCACCTGTTTCTGCACACAAAACAGCGGTCACTCCCGATCGATGACGATGGCTTCCAATAGCTTGAGAATGTGGGGCCACTGCTTGCGCATAAGGTCGGTGAATGACTCGTCGGCGTTGACTCGGTGACCGGTGCTCAACAAGTGCCTTGTGATTGCCGAGGCAGCTCGATTTCTCAATTCATCCGATTCCGCCGTCGCCGAACCCATCCGGCTGCGTAACCACTTACGAATGTGCTCATTGATCCTGACACCTAAACTTCGGTTAGTGCGCCCGATATGATTTTTGCATACTTTATGATTGAGGAGCTTGCACGAAATAACTGAGTCATCTCACAGTTTGCCTCTTCTGCTTTTTCTGTTTGGAAATATGAGACATTTGAATTGGTCTTCCGTCAAAGAGCGTAACTTAAAATGTTCGCACTCACATTTATCTGTCAGCGCTCCATATTCGTCCTTCTCCCGCTTGACAGGTCTCAGATGTTGATAGCGAATGTTGAATAGTGATGACGACTCACTGAACACTTCGTTGATTTGTGACACCGCTTCCTTAGACCTGAGATCTTTTGGTAATGTGTTCAACGAACGTTGGATGTTCATTTGTGTCAGGTTTGCGGAGCAGCACTCGCACTTTCCAGGAGTCATCCTAACGAATTAATTCCATCCTGATCGTGTCCTCCCAACGTCTGAACCGCGCACCGAAAGGGCATTCAGAATCTGCCTCACAATTTTATTCCGTACTGGAATTGGAAAGATGATCAACAGAACTTGCCTGTTTGCCACGTAAAGCTGTTTCTGAAGACTGTAGACTCAACCACGGCTTCAAAGTTTCGATCAGCTTCATTTGAGCCTCAATTTGTATTCGCTGTTGCCGTAGCAACATTTGGAATTATTATGCAAAGAAAAGTTCATTGCATTACCAGCTTTCTGCGACGCCACTTGTGCCATCTGCCTCTTTCTGCGTAATCCAGGTTAACCAGATCTCCTTCTCCGTTAGCTTCAAATCACAGCCAAAATCAAAAGTCAACGCCTGGAGACAAAAGTCTATTGGAACAAATGTTGTAAAATGAACGGATATTTGTAGGTCAAGTCAAGAATGTTCCTGTTCCATTTACAGCTAGGTCAACTGCGCTGAATGACGGTTCAGTTCCGACAGCCCATGGGAAAGTTGGTACGCGCGTCAAGTGGTGAACACGAATGTTCCTGAAACGACATGATGCGTCTGTTGTACATCATTGACTCAAATCGATTTCCCATTAAAGTGATGAGTCCTTCGGCGATTTTACTTTCTCCCGGACAGTTGTACATTAGTTTTTAGTGTGATGCTACGCTCCCTTGGAGTTGCGTAAATTCGCTGTTCTGTTAGCATGTAGCTTCCACATTGTGAATTAATGAATTACCCTTCGTGTTGTTTACAGATTTATGCCAATGGAGGTTACGTCTTTATCACATTTGGGCAGCACAGCGTCCAGTTTGGGCTTCGTTTCATCCAAAAACCTGATGTGTTACCTACTGCTACAGGACTTTCGGTTGCTAGTAATGGAAAACAGGGGCCGTAAGTCTGTCGTTTGCTTGCGCCTTTTGTAATGGATTCACTTGTCTTCTCACCGTTGCATCCTTATTTGGCGGATTCGTTTCTCATCTCCTCTATCATTGTACTGAGATCGGTATCTACCAATGCTGTCCACCGACTTTTTGAAAATGGACTGCGCATATCGCGCAAAGGTATCAGAAAGCGCTTTATAACGTAAGGAATTTTCTTCCGGATCGATAAACTTGGCTTCGACACTGTAACATCAATATGATACAGATTCGGGACAGTTTATTCGAGTGACATTTATCCTTCTAACGCCACTTTTTCCAATTGTATAATTTATATCTTTAATGGTGTTCTTATAACTTCTGCAGTAGCTATTGTAAAATGCCGAAAATGCACCCACTCGGATACACGAAGCTTATACTGACTGACCTGACTTGACGAGCAACAGCCAGTACACAGTCAGCACAACTCATATATCATTAGTTTAGACAATCTGCACAACTAACTATTTTGATCCGTCCACCAGAACACTCCTTGTGGAACGCTTCTAGCCTCATTCCACTAGACATCGTTCAGGTGGGCTGCTACCGACACCCTAAAATATTGATGAATATTAAGGTGGTGAAGAAGCATCACATATAGGCTGCGTGACTTGTTGGCCCTGGCTGCTTAATGCCATGCTTTTCTTGTGCTGTTACGAACTACGAGCTTTCCGTGGAATTATACTTACTTTAGTGGCAGTTTCCAGCATTATTGTCGCGTGTGACTCTCCAAGAATCATGAACTAGTTCTGGACCGTGATCAACGCCTGTTATTCATGCGCAACAAGATCACGGTATATCTCGCGTGAATTTCAATCGCTCACAGTATGGCGCATTTTCCCTGGTTATATCCTTCTTGGCCTCTGTTTGCACTTTGTTCACGTCAGTCCAAATCAATTATGATGTATCCTTCAGTTTGCGTCGGCGGCGATCGGTTGGCTTTCATCCTGTTGAGCCAAGTTCGTTCAGCTCGCCCGTTTAATTCTCCGTTACCATGCTCGCTGTGGTATCTCAACTATCACCACAAGTACCACACATTGTAGAACGTTTCCGCAAGTACACTCACTTATTTAATGCTTTGAGCGCGGATCTGACAGATGAGCGCGCTTGAGAGCGGAATTACGGTCCTAAACGTGAACGGATTTTGTACCCTGTCTTTTTTCAGAGTAATGTGCTGCTGCTGTAAATAAGGCAGAGCATGTTTTTTGCGCTTTTGAACGACACCGAGTCTTACTCCTCGGTGCTCAGGGCTGCGTTGTTCCGCGATTGCTACCTGTACACGATGCAGTCGGCAAATCTGTTGGACCATAATAACTGTTACAAATCTCTCCAAAGAACCGAAGTGCGCTTCGCAAGATGAGCTCTGACAAGCACCAACACTGCAGTAACTAGTGGCCGAGTTGCGCTCAGCTCAGCATCCAGAGCTGCACTACTTCGCATGAACACTGGCAGCTGGAGGCATGGTGCTTTTGCTCCCTCTTACTGTTGTCCAGAGGTCATCAAAAATGGCTTCTTTGACCTACTGTTTATTATCTCGTTTAAGCGGTCGGCGCCTCGGGTGTCGTAAATACTTGCCTCAATCCTCCATCATAACCGGAATGCTTCCTTGCGAGAGACATTTTTGTAGGTGGAGGCTTATCATACACAGACAATGGGGTCCTGTCTCTTCAAATGTGTGTACCGACCACCAGTTTTACGTAAGCACCAGAACTTCCTGGCGTAAGCGATCTCATTCAGTAACGAATACACACATTGAATCTAGGCTGTCTTGGATTCAAATTGACCACATCACTGTCCGTTATAGCCGGTGCAGTTTAATCGAGCATTTCAGTCCAACTTGCCTCGGTTCCGATCATACCCCTATGCGCAATCACGTAATGTTCATTTTTACAACTTCGGCGAAATACCAAACTTCGGAACTGCTTGCTCGTTAACTGCATTCACATCCTGCGAGGTTTCATCAGCTTTCACCGACGAACGAGTCGAACAAGCCGAATGCGGATTGGACGACAATTCAGTGCAGTATGCAGAGACCTGCTAGTTCGTCCTTCCGTTCTACTTTATTTATCCGCATAGTAAATGCATTTATTGGATTTCGATAACTTATATTGGAGCACGAAAGCTATTTACTTCGTACCTAAATGTGGCGCTGACTTAACATGTCCCGTTATCAACTATGTCCAACGGGTGCTGCTACGACAGAATAACGCATCATTACTGGAAAACAATAACGACTCACTGGTGATTGTTTTGGCTGTCTGACGCAAAGCGAAACTGACCTCCGATCGAGGACTGTCATTTGTCATTTGTATTTTCATGAGAGACGAATCCGTGAAGGTCAGCCTGAATTCCGTGCCGTTAGTGAGTGAATTGATCGAGGAGCAGAAGCTCCTCGGCAACGTGCGTACAAACTGCCTACCGCACTAAGTTTTAGTGGTCTGGAAGTTGTTTTGTTTCGGTTAATATCGCTCACTTGTGACTATCTACTTTGCGGAGCGTGTCGGCGAAATTTCCCTGCATTCCAAATCGGTTAGTCGGCCGTTGGCCGAAGGTTCTGACAACGTCGCAGCATCCATAGCAAGCGCACAACAGAGAACCGTTGGTACGTCGTACTGATGATACTGCTATTCCATGACTAACGAGGCATTTAAGATCTTACACCAGATCACTCGTTGAGGTCTCAACGGCAGCTGTAATGCATCAGAACCACCCTCCCTTTCTCCATTTATTTTACAATCACATTTCTTCTGCTTCTGGGATATAGGTTCTTTCCGGTGACGGTCTGTCGCATTCAGACTGCGTCGATGATATACTTTCCTGGGTGTTTGACCCAGCTTCTGGACAATCAGCTCTGGACATATGGACGCTTAGAGGTGTATTCTTTGACATAGTTTCACCACCTTGGAGTGCAAAAGTACTAATGGGAAACTGGGTCGACCCTTTATCATCCCTGATTTTCACCGAAAAACCACTGAATAGAGTGTACAAAGCAGCCGTGCATTCGACTTTACTGTGCGATTATGTAACCTAGCCCATTAGATCGGGAGGTGTAAGGAGGCTAGTTATGTTTGACTACCGGTGCCTTCGAAGTTTGGCTCATATCTGGTGAGAACACCGGATAAGCAGTGAGCATGTTCAGCGCCTTGTTTATGATACAGGGAGAGATAGTGAACCGCTCAGCACCGTTACTTCACGAACCAGGGTTTGATGGCTGGGCCACGTGTTGCGCATGCAAGCACACTGACTCCCGCGACGTGCATTGTTTGCGCGTTGGGGTGTGGATGGAAGGGGAGGAGAGGCCAACCGATGACTTGGTCAGGAGGAATGAAGGCCTCTTTGAGTCTCTAGGCTCCTTGATTGTGTCCCAAAGAACGATGAACACGTTTGGCTGGATACACTTATTGATATGGCTAAGAGCCGACCTCCATGGCGTCTGTATTGTGCGTTTCTTTGTCCCTCCTCCTCCAACCACAACCTCATTTCGGATACATAATATAGCTTTCTTGCGCCACAGTAGCCGGCTGCTAGCTCTCCGAAACGACGTCCATCCGTTACTGGTGGTTCAATTGTCCTGTCCCTGTTACGTCTCGTTTTTCCTTGTTTGTGTATTGCGACACAATGCCTGAGGTGATTCCCATCTCTAGCTAACGTGCACATGAATGATGATGCCACGTCTGTTTTTCTTCTTCTGCCTATTTCTTAATTTTAATGCCATTGGCCAGTCACAGATTGCACCGCAGTGCGTATATTTGCGGGCATATGTACATTCCACAAATGGCCATGTGAAATGCACTGATGGTTTATATTCCATATCTCACTGGCTCAAACCCTGGTTTATTGAGCGATAGGTAAGGAGCCTAGCATTCCTATATTAATATAGTCAAACGGGCGGGCAGGTCTCATACAACATTCGCATTTTTTAACATACTGATTCCAGCTTTAGGTATAATAAGAATCTGTTTTAGCGTCCGTGGACCGCATATCACTCCTGGTCACCTCGTCTTACTTCTTTGACCATTTCCAAATCTCAGCGACCCTAAGGTACTTTGTTGCCTCCAATTTGCTCCACCTTTCAAAGTTCAGCGGCTTCACCAACACAGATCCTTAGTTGCTTTAATGGTGTTGTACCGCAAATCCGCCGCTTTCCTCCTCGAGTTAACATGTTAAGCCGCTTCTAGCCCATACTGGCAGGCCATGACTATACTTCGGATTGGGTACTCACGAGTACACTGATTTTAGTATCATTTATTTTGGTTTATCGCAATTAGATTACAAGCCGCATAAGTCAACTACCAGTCCAGAAAAACACCGGACGCTCGTTTCGGCCTATCGGAGTTCGTCAGTGGTGCGCTCGGTCCGCTACTGGGGACCGAACCCATGCCTGCTAGTGGCTTGCACCATTATAAAGCAGCTTATGTCACTGAGCCATGGTGGACGGTAGCCGGCCGTCACAGATTGAAATCTAGCCGCGATATATCCCGACCTATCCTCCACTGCCATGCTGGTTACTGCCCGTGCAGAGGACTGGTTGGCCGTCTGGTGTCCCGACGCATATTTTATGTCCTGCCACCTGGTTCACATTCCGTTGGCAGTCTCCTTCTTCATATTTCTGAGCTGCATAATCAGTGGCCCGTGGTTTCGAAGCTGCGCTAGGGGCATGCGCGCAAAAGACGGTACCAGCGCCTAGCCACACCATTGTTATTCGTTCGTTAAGCCCACTCACAATCGATAACCACGACATATTCCTTCTATGTTCCACATTTTAGTGTCAGGATCCCAGTCGATGGACAAAACCTGGTTGTTATGCCTCCCGGATTTACCTGTCATTTTGGCTTCCACATTACGCCTGCACCTACAGAGGAGCATGGATGGTTTGCGCTGCACACCGACAGCTCCATCCACACACCCTATATCTAGTGTAAACCCAAAGGAGTAAGACCGGGAGGCATGTGGATGCGATCCACCTTTCATCAACGGAGCCAACCCATATTCCTTCAACATGCACAGCTGTGGCATTCCTGTCTGTCTAATTGGGGAGTCTTGCGTACCAAGGCGGTGGCTGTGCCGTAGTCCGCTCCACACTGGATGGAACCACTGTTTGAGCCTAGCACAGCCACGAGAACCGTGCACATTGTCAACATTCATATCATTCGCAGCCGAGCATTGCATGTCGCACGGGGGATTTAATGTGTCAAGCGCATATCCGACAGACATTCAGTCGTTTCGTCAAACTGAAACGACAACGCAAAGGAAACCGGACACAACACGGAGCAATCCATGGTTTTATCATAGTGTGTGATATTACGCGGGTGGGCAAGTCGAACTAGGGAGTAGACTTGGGGGACATTACCCTGAGACTTTGGTTGAATAGCTTGCAGTAAAGTCAGCGGAGAAAACTCAGGGAATCGCGCCCATTTACAGCCGGTGACCGATTGTTCAATTTATACTTCTTTCTTTTACTTTGTTGTCAGACAAACCCAATACTCCTCATAAAGTCAGCGCCAGGCTACTGGAATACAGTGCTCCACCAGTGTGAAGCAAGGAGCATTGACTTTATTTAGTGACGAGTCACATACATAACGTCATAATGTTTTTATGTAGACATATGCAACTTTTATTGAAACCACGCTTGTCCACTGCGTTTTGGAACACTGCCGCTGATCCATTTTCTGGAACTGGATAAACCTGAACCACCTAGCTAGCCCTACGCAAAGATTGTTCCGCAAGCCAGCCAGGAGAGAAGATGACACTTTTTAAGGCGGAATTGATGGAAGACCATTTGGATTCATCTCTCACAGCAATTGGAAATGGCACCAAGACGAAAATTCACGGTGAACGCAATGGAGCTCGAAGTACCGTAGCAAAATATGAAGACGACTGTGTAACAAAGACGGATTTACAGCTCTTTGGTACTCGGCGGTAAATACATCGCCACGGTGGATGAAAGCAATCTGACACGGTAACTGCTAGTCAGATATATTGGGTCCCTGGATAAAGAATCTATGGACGTAGTCGCAATATTATGTATCCAGCAGGTTGGCTTGCCCAACAACCTCTTCGTGGTGCCAGCTGGATGGTTCTGGGTTGTTCTGTTCCAACGAATGGTTTGACAGCTGCGTCGCAAGACGTGGCAGGTTTTTGCCCGACAAGCGTACTTTCTATAAAAAGCCACAAATGTCCAGTTAACAACAGTGACGTTTCGGATATCACTCGCCACTATCTAGATTCACTGCGTCTTGCTTCACACTGGTGGAACATTATATTCTTGCAGCCTGGTGCTATAATCGTAGAGAGGATTGGGGTACAGTTTGACAACTGGCCAAACGAAAGACGCATGAGCTGAGCAATCGGTCACCGGCTCCAAATCGCGCGATTCTCTGATTTTGCTCCGCTAGCTTGCGGGTAGCCTATTCAGCCAAAGTTTCGAGGTGGTGTCCTTGAAGTCAACTTCATAGTTCGGTTTAGTCAGCCGAATAGCATCCCGCTCTTTGCCAAAGTCTTGAATTTATTCAGTGCACAACCTTAAGCATTGACAGGTGGCAATACCACATATTTGCCGCTTACGGCCTCGTTGGCACTACAACTACCGCAGTACTACATCAACTAAGTCCTGAGACACGCTGTCAAACATGCGGCTCTCAAAACGGTGTTCGCACAGTTTTGCAAATGTCCAAAACGTAGCATATATGTCATCCAAGTACTTAACCATTTGTACATACCGCTGTGTACTCTGCTGTGGCCATAAGCTATTTGGTAACGATCTGCATCGTACGTCTATGGTGCAGCCATTCGAGGCTCCTAAAAGGATTGTCACTATGCGCCGATTCCTGTCCGATGTAATATACTAAGACACTGACGTACCATTACCGTTGGCATTACCCTGTTCTTAGTCTAGCAAGAAAATTGACCATGTCCAATTCGACTCTGCGTTTGCGCCTTCAATCCGCTTAGTACTTGCGTTTTCGTAAGCCCCGGTGAATTCAATAAAGCTGATGAACTACGGGAACTATAGCTATGCTCACTCTCATCACTAACCTGTGAAGCGGAACATGAATTGTCGACATCATGATAACCACTAGTCGGTTAATTGACGGGATTTTTCACTTGTCATGGATTTTCCAGGGCAATTTCTCTTCGGATGCATAGTCCAACCTGGTCACACGAGGGACAATCGTTGAGCATCGTGTTCTAATTATTAACCTTTATGCTTACTGTAAGTGGCCGAGCGCTGGTAACTTTTTGATCCAAACGTATCCGTCGAACTGGAAACATATTCAAAAATTTGCTACCCTAGCATCAATCCGTATCAACAACACAGTTCGCTCGGAAACTCCGCGCGCACATCAGTTACGAATGAGCTCATGGATGGACTGAACCATTATTCTGCGTTGCACCGGCTCTCTAAGCGTCCTCTAGCTAGTGTTATATAATCTACCAATCGATTTCAAGGAGCAGGATATAGGTAGCAAAAGGGACAGTGGCAGCATCGCATAGGTTGCAATACCATGGAGCTTACATGGTGATGTGAATCGCGGACGAAGAATACTACAAATAGGATGATGCCGTAGCTCATCGTACTCGAATCCACTTGAGAAGGTAGCGAGGGTATCATAGGTCACGCTGAGTACCACAGTGTAGTGGGCAATACGTGAACTAATCGCGAGTTACGTAAGCCCAATAAAAGGTAGGTTAGATGTGGCTCTTCCGTTTTAGACAGGTACAATAAATATACTAAATTGCTCCAAGTCAGTGGTTAATCATTCTAGAGTGAAACTGTACCCAAGCGCAACTTACATGAGCGATAGAATAAGGATGACACAAAGAAACTGACGGAGATGGAGTAAGCAACTTTTCAAGTTAGCAGGGAAATGGTGCGCTTAAGTCCATTCCTATTAATAAGCTCAGCTAAGTGCAAGTCTGCAGTGAGAGAACGGGAATTATAGCTATGCCCACTTCGACGAAGTAGTTAAAGCACAGTGGAACAGTGACTTCTTGTTTGGTGTATGCTGGGGATCCCGTCACCTATATTAACTGCAGGCTATCCATGTCGGAAGGCAAATCATAGCCGGTCCGATCGTCTCTTGTCCGTGGTGGGCGAGAATTAACAGGTATGTGAAATCACCAGGCAGTCGGCCATGTGTTACTGTTTATTTTCCACTGGTCATTCGTTCTGGGCGCTAGCATATCTCGACCATTTCATCAGTGCCGGATTCGGATCTCACATCGAATTGCCACTGTCTGTGAACCATAATTGATGACTTGTCTGAATCTTAGTGCGCAGTACAGAGTCACTTGACATCATTGACATCACATTACAACCCGCAATCCTTTATGGTGTCACACGAGATGAAATGTAATCTGATCTGTTAAGTGGGAACGTAATAAGACGCGAACAGATGTTAGCGCTACCTGCAATTTAGGCGAGCCCCAGTTAGACATCCAGCCATTAGGTACCGGTGTCACATGTGTGAAAATGCGATCAGTCTGCCGAGTGGAAATATGGAGCTTACAAGTGTTTCTACATGGCTTCCACTTAGTCATTCAACATGATGACGAGCACCGCCCACTGCGAGTAGGGATATCTGTTAGCATACCAAACGTCCCTGGTTCGAATTGCAGTACTGCAGTGTTGCGAGCGGGCATTTGTTCACACATATGTATGGGCTACCACAAACTAGATGGAGTAGCAGTAACCCTCATGAGCAATAACACTGCGTACGTGCATGAGTTTGGATTTACTGTAACAATAACAGCCCTGTTCCTTTAGTTTTGAAAAATCTGAAGCGATATATATATATATATATATATATATATATATATTCTTTCACACATGAAAATGATGGATAGATGCACTAGTGCGTGCTTATTTGTGGTCCGTTTGCGATTCATTCTATCCACCGCATAGCTATGCGGTTGCGTGTTGGCGCTTGACATTGCTTGTGGAGAACCCTCGTAAATCCCCACCTCGATTGCTTCACACATATTTCATCGAATGATATCCATGTCTGCGTACTTTTCTACTATTTTTACACCACTTTTCCTATTTCAGGCACGGTGTCCAGCAACTTTGAGTGGGTAAAGCGATCATGCCATCGACTTTGTCTTCCAAACTCCAGCAGTTTGACAAACACGGAGTGTCCGCAGTCTACGGTTATCAAATATGCGGCTCCATGCTCAGATGGGACTACAGAGGAACGGTTTCTCCTGGTATTGACTGCCGGCACAGAGGTGTTTATTTTCGACTGGGACCTTCTCCTTGACGAAGGTTATTTCCATTTCCATTATTTTCGATAGCCCTTACCGTGCCTTTCTGCGTTCATTTCCATCCGTATACCAATTATAGTTTGGTGGCACGGCTGAACTGTTACAAAACTATGTTTCCTTCTTCAAACTCCAGAACTCTGTGGACGAAACACATTAGTATCTACTGAACCAAGTACGGTGAGCCCATGTCGTTAGGGCGATACAAATTATGACTACTTTTCGGGAGTTTAGGGGACGATTTTGTGCTGTTTCGACAACTTTTCATCTTTCATTCCGTTGCCTGTGCCGGGCCACAGAATTAGACAGGTTGAGTAGGATGCAATACCATTTCTGAAGGATGCCGTTAAATAACCACTCCCTCTTGTTTCCTGCTTCATCTGACCCCATCGCAGTTCACCCGGTGTCCGACCTGTCTCTTACATCATGCACTTCATGCCCCTATCGCACACTTGCGAATTGTGCTCGATTTTTAAAACCACGCTATTTTCCCGAGTTACACTCAATTCTCCCTTTGTGCGCAATTTGATCTCATTTGCTTGTTTTTATCCCCTCCATGGATCGCATCATCCCCTAGCTTCTGAACCGAATGCACCATTCGAATACAATTTCGCTTGATATGACTATCCTAATTTTGTCAAACGCCCTGGTGTTTACCAGAAAGCCATCTCATCCTTCCGTTGCTCAGTACTTATGCGATTTTGCCGCCATCAACCGATGAGCTGGACCGTGACCTCATTACTGTTACTGCCAGACAACCACAGCGGGTGTGGCCGTGTGCTCAGATGTGACTCAGTGCTACTCGTCCTTTGATGCTATTCTGCCTGTCTTATTTAGAGCATGGGGCCAATTTTGTACACGACGTTTTCCACTCTCTACCGTTCAGCCTGAGACATTATGGTCCCGTTAAGGTTTGCTGCTAGTAAGTGTACTGTTGAGATGATTTCTGATGTTGAAAAAGCTATGCGTCTTACTTTCACTACCGGCCACCGAATCCCCGTGGCCCCCTGCGGCTGCCGTGCAGCGACCTTAACGCGTACCACTGCTGCGTCTTGAGCGGACGCAGTAGCGGTCCAGCAACTAGCCTATTATTTAACTTTGATCGAGTTTGACTATTTGTCTGTGGTGTTCTCCATTCATAAAGCATGCTTTTAGTTCTTATTTGTACACCCCACTTCTGATTAAAGTTAGTTTACGGTATGTGCTATCTGGGAAGTTTGCACACTGGAAGTTTCTTGCAGCACCTACTTATGCCGCATCTAAAGTGACACCTGCAGCGAATTGTAATCTGGTTGGTCGGTCAATGCACTACCGCTAAGGACCTCTCAACATGAAGTTCTCCTTCCGTTCTGATTGTAACTTTTCCTGTTTTCGATATCTGGACCCCACTCCTCTTCTATGACCGATCACCGGCCACAGTTCAGTTTGGCGGTTGAGTGCCTAAATGTTGTCCGGTTGACACGACAGGGGTGCGCTCAACTCGTTGGGTCGCAGCTCGTTGCTAGATTGCATTGGTCGCGGGCGACATCGGTGACACATACTCGGAGCTTGCCCGTTGTGTTAACCTAGAAGCGTTCCTCCTGCCTGTCGACAAGCCCATACCCAACCAAGCGGACAAGCCAGCTCATCCGCTTCTGTTTGGAGCCCTTGATCATCCCTCAAATTGGCAGCCTCAACCTATGCACATTGTTACAGAGCTGTCAACAGGCAGCATTTTCCCGAACATTAGAGACCCTGTCGATCGATATATGCTATTTATCGGGAACCCACCTGCAAGACCCGAGTTCTGTGCTCACTCTGGTGGAATGCCACCTGTTGGGCCTCCGGAGTTACCAGCGTATCCGTCTTTGTTTTACCATTACAGTGGAGCAAGCAGCACCGTTGTTCTACTTAGCTATCACTTTTTGATCTTTTTTGCTCTCTCGAACGAACTGGTAGCATTTGAGTTGCTGGTTCTGGCTTCACAGGGACCAGACGAAATGCCCATTGCGTACTATTCCTCAGAGGGATGGTCATTTGGTGCTTTTCCGGACCGGTGTTGGCTCTCTGTTTGGGTCCAGAAGTGATGCATTTCAACAAATACTTTTCCAATCCCAATGCTACTCCACCATGATAGCAGTCAGAATGAATCGCTCAATTGTACCGCTATTCCGGGGGGAACACGTCAGTGTATTGCAGTTCCAGCCAAGTTGCATACTCATCATTACTTTGCTTGATTCTGTCTGCACCCAACTGTAGTGCTCATTTTACTCACACGTCCGTCTACCGAGTTACCACTGTTCCAGCGATGTTTGTGAACTAGACGTACGTATCCGTCGCTGTAGGATGACCATCTTAATACCGAGTTGTTCTTCGGAAATTTGGGCTTACCTCTCGTTGACTGTCAACTACCCTATATTATTGTTTCAGCCTGTCTTCTTGCTGCCGAGTGAATCTGCTCACCGGTTTTGCTTATGATACCTAATCATGGCCTCTTAAAATTCACATATCTGTCTTACTGTGGTTTGTGGACTCGCATTCACCAGAGGATGACTCACGTTCTCCTTAACTAAATGCCTTCGCTAATTCACAGTGTTTAGTTTATTTCGCCTTTTACACACTTGTCTAACTTCGTAGCTCAAAAACACGCCCTCACTTTTCTAGCTAGCTTTACTTTCTCTCTCCTGCACCTTTGATTTCAGGCTGCCCTCACCCCCTGCTTTCGTTGGATCTGGCAAAGTCTACCGACCGGATCACCTCCACCCTATTCGCTCCACTGGCTGTAGTGCACAAACCCGTAGTTCTTTGGTCTGGAAGTGAACCCCCATGCTACCTGGCTGTGTATCTTCGTGGTCATGTACCTGATGAAACACCTGCAACGTCGCGCACTTCAGGCGTGCTCTGCGTCCTCCGTCTCCATCGGCCTTGTGAGGATCGGTGGGCGCTCGACCCAGTGACAGTCACGGCCGACCTCACGCTCACGTGCATAGACTCACATCCGCACAAACCACTCGTGGCAGTCGGTCTACAAGACGGCACAGGTGAGTATAGATCGGCGGTATGTCTATTCACTCGCCCTAGTTCGTTGCACACTCAACACCTTTGACTCAATAGGCTTTTTTCATTACGTCATAACACTACTAAGCCGCCGCTGACTGACGGTGTTCTACACTTTTGTTTGACTGATTCTTCGGCAATACTTACTGAACTCCCTTCTAAAGTTGAATTGATATTCGTTAAAATGCGCCCGACCGGAAGGGTGAATTGGATCTTCACTTACATGATGTGTTCCTATCTCCATAAACAGATCACAGGGAACTCATATGGTTTATATGCCTAGTGCCGTTCCACTAGCTCACATTGACGATACCCTGTAACCCGTCCACTGAAACAAGGGAATCGTCTTCCTTCACTGATTTATTAACTCCACGATATTTTAAAGTGTTATGAAAATGAAATCATTTGGTATCACTGAGGAGGCTCGTTACAGCCAGAATCAGTCAGGCATCTCCTACACATCAGGAAAAGCACTGAGCTCATCAGTAGAGCGCATCCGCTAATTGAGCCACTGTTCAAAATGGATGACGACGGTGGAGTGCCATGACCGATTGTTAGTGGCGATAAGACGTTGCTCATTCCCCCCTCCCTTCCTATTGTTATGAATGCTATGGATGTGCAGAGGATAAACCTGACCCCTAGATCTACTTCATCCTTCGCACGCGGCTACCAATCTAGGTGGCATATGAACTGCTAAAGCGATTGTAGTAGTGGCTAATAACTAATCGTGGCGGTCTGCCACCGCAATTCATGACCCAGTGTTTTAAGCCGCTCGCTCTTGAGACGAAGGTCATGGGTTCGGTACTAGAACGGTCTGGCGGATACACGCTACTGACAAACAGCCACTAAGCGCTGTCTTTTGATGCTTGTTTGCTGAGTCTGGTTATGACGAGCCTTCACAGAAATACGAAAATGTCCCTACTACTCCATAATGTGGTACCTCCTGCATACTTCGCTCACCGTTTATCCTTGGAATATCTTCCAAATGGTTTGATCGCTGAATTCCTCTGTGGTGGGTTCTCAGCTAACATGAGAGTTAACCAACACATGTTCACCTGTGGATTGAATTTACAAAGCAGGCACGTTTCTGCATTATTTCAAATTAATATGTTGTTTCACTAGTGTGATGTTGGTTAATTTCTGGAGATTGTGAAAACTGTATGAATCGAATTCGGCGCATCGACTTGGATGCCTCAACCGGTCATGACTATGATCCAGTTGCAAAAACTTTGCTTGGCTTAAGACCCATGTGAATATATAGGTGGAACGTAGATTACGAGCTGATCTCTCGGTGGACGCCTCTGGCGTTTGGCGCCTTTACGTGATCTATCTCAGGGTGGCTTTTTCATCAACACCGCAAGGCGCTTTATAGTGGCGTGTTCGACCTCTCTTCTCATGCCTGATCCCTTGTGTACTGATATAAGTGTTCAGCGTCTGGTGGAACGGGCAACCCAGTATTTGTTATGTGCATACTCATACATCGGGTTATACAGGTAACGACCACAACAGACGCCTTATCAGTGTCCCTCATACGTACGGGGGCCCTGCCATGGCAGTTTCCATTAACTTGGACACAACGTTTGCTTCAATTGCTTACACTCACTTACCTTGCTGGAGGAGTGTTTTTTATTTTGTAACTATCCTGCAACCCCCTAGTCCGCGTACTGGTTTAAGCGAACTGGTCCCTTGAGTCCACCGCGATGCAGTTCGGTTAGCTAAAATCGCACCACTCATGCTACACTTGTCAGTTTGTCGTCGAAGTAATCATGATCCTTGCTTTGAACTTGGGAACTGAAGTCCTGCACTAGTTTGCTTCCTGTCGCATTTCCAGGGAGAGCATCCACCACTGCCGCATCGATCGTTTGTATCCCCGTCTATCATGGCTTCTGGCTTGCATCTCCCTTACGTCTCCGGTTTGATTCTTCGCTTGTGAATGGATTTGGGCACTTCTGCAGTATCCCGTAGCCTGCGTGGCAATGGACCATCAGTATATACAGTACTGATGTAGCGCCGACACTTCTATCAGCAGTGTGTTAGCGAGGTCGGTGGCGCCCATTCGCTCAGCCCATTACTCCCCAATGGTTGTAACGCCTTTTTGTGCCACGCCGTGTTGTTAACTTTTCTCTTGTAGTTAGTTATCGTTCTCAATTCTTATCTTTTCTTAGTTAGACAAAGGCAACTGAATTCACTGCACTTTTGTGCACCGATTTACCTCACTTGTACGACCAGCTAAACTGAACTGCAAATGGCGTCTTCCATCTGGGCGCGCGTATCCCCGCTTTCGCTTGCCAGCACTTTGTGGTCACGATTCAACAATCCTTACTCTGGGGATCAAACACCGTAATCATTAATTAGCAGAAGACCTCACCTCAACGCCGATTACACACCCGGTTAGATAAATTCACAGCCACTAATGAGGGATATTGAAATTAGCTAAAAAGCTCGGTGGGCTAGTGAATGTTACCGTCTTGGTAAGTAGGTTGGCCACATTTATGCTGTTCCCAACTTCGCGTAGTTGTGAAATTCAGTGTGCTCTTGCGTCTAGCTGTTAACTTAGCGATTTTATCATCCCTTGAATTTTTCCGCATCTGCATTTTCTCTCTCTTCATTTCTATGGTTTTTGGCAATTATTTTTGGTAGAGACAACCACCACACATCCAGGAAGCGCACTGAATGGTCGTTTTGTCCTTTTGGGGATCGTCAGCCTTGCGCATTCTATCTACTCCCTGTGACGATCTAATTCATCGCAGTTACATAGCGGTGGCTTATCTATGTTACACTAAATGCTCCTACGAGTAATAGGCAGTTCGCCGTACAACTTCTAATTGCGATCTTCCATAGCCGCTATATGGGAAGCCGTCGCACTGGGATCCAACCCTATTTTTTGTAAATTTGGCAACTTGCATAACAATGTCGGATGAGCCACATTATATCGCAGTTTGCATATCAGTTAGGATCGTCTGTCGACATTCCCCGTGGCCTGGTGAATTAAACCGCTGCTAGAGCTGGAGGATGCGCATTACTAATGAGCGCCTTTATCGTCAAGTGACAATCTGGTACTTTTCCGCGTGTGTGACACTGGTTTAGAGCTAATTGCGATGAATTACTTGTGAACTATTACTCTGTGGCATCGCGAATCGTGGCAACTAATTCCGTTGTACTTTCATGTCCTGACCATAGCCGATTAAGTCATATGTACGTTATAACCCCATGTGGTCCTAATGTGCAACCCCATGACTAGCTGGTTCTGCTTTATTCCCAGCCGCCGTATTTCGCCTCATACTGGATGGCCCTTCCGTATATCTTGATCGGGTACAGTCGTTTCCTGCACTACCAGCGCATCCCCTTTGTGATCGTCGACGGATGCATCGGTCCGGATCAAAGTCAAAGATTCGTATTCAACCGCCGGCTACTCGACTGTTGTCATTGCATTTCTTGCCTGATTTGCCCGATACACAACCGTTTCGTTTGGTCGGCTTGCTGGAAACTCTAACTGGTCGCGAACGGGGCAGACGCGATGTCGTCACGTATAATTTAGCCGATCAACCCTCAGATCAAGTGAGTTTTGTCCGTATTAAGTGCCATTCCTCTTCAACCATCCTTCCATATATTTCTATTTCCAACACATGTGGCACTTTCGTAGCCAAATTTTGCTTACCCGCATGAATTTTCTCAGGAGTTTGCGTATCTCGGTTTTATTCAACCAACATTCGTCACCGCCGCTATTGCCTCTCATCCTTATGCTGTGGTGAGTCAACAGCTCTGTGAGATCGTACTAATGTAATAATAGCAATATGAAACCAAGAACCGTCTTTTAAATTCGCGTTTCCGGAAGTGAACCGACCACTGGTGGGTTCGGTAGAACTGTACGCCACCGATTGCGTCCCCAGGTAGCGAATCGGGGAATGCCTTCCTTGCGAAGTAACCGTGTATGAGTCTCGGCTGTTCGCACACGAGATGAATAAGCAGCCACAGACAGTCAGCGACAGCGTCCTAGTGCGTGGGAGTTCTGGGCTGGTCACCTGGTTCCTTATTAAATAACACAAGTGCTCGTAAGACGCTGTGTCAAAGCCAGTGTGACTGGCTAATAGGGTCACTGACCATTTACTTCTGGTCACAGAAGTGAACACTTAAAGGAGGTCGGATGAACAACCTCGATGGCCACCGGCTCCTATGAAAGCGTATAAGCCACTCGGCTGTCAACAGCCTACGTGGTTCGCGGCGAGTTCGGTAGTCCAGGGAATCCTAGCCTCCTTGCTGCTTCACACGGGCTCTTTGGGCGCCCTGAATAGTTTGCTTCTCCTCGAAAGCCGTTTTCTCATCATCTTGGTAGCCGGTTCCCAACGGTTCGCGGTATACGTCAATCACCCCGTTGCCTTGCGGGTTAAGTCTTTCATTACCCAAGGCTCTGGGTGAGTTCCCCCAAGTCAACCCTTTTCCTCGGCCTGGGCAACAGGGAAGCACCATGCCCACACAACCTGTGAGTCCATGTTTCAACAACTCTTCGCTCGCTCTCTCCGCTCACTCTCTAGTTGCTCTCGGTCTCTGGAACTGTTCTCCTCAGCCGAGCTGCTGGCGACTGAACCTGCCAAACCACGTTTTACTGCACCACCTTGTAATCACTTTATTCCCAGGTTGTTCAACCCCTCATTCTTCGTCTTCCTCCTCCGTTTTCGGGTTCACAACATTGTGCTGCCTTGGGCGAACCTTCTCGCTACGCGGATCAGGAGCCTAGGTCCGAGAGTGCGCCAAGCCGTGTTGACAAGCCAGTTTAGCGCCCCGTTCCCAATTCAAGCTGGCAACCTTCAATGTGTGGACGCTGATGCAGATTGGATCACAGGCAGCCCTTGCTCGCACTCTATAATCTATGGCCTTTGATTTTTGCTGTGTCAGCGACACCAGTTTACAGGACTTTTACACGATGTTGCTAGTACTTTCACCGTCTGCCAATATTATTGGCATTTTTACTTTGTGCGTATCTGGAGACTCAACCGTCGAAGTCGCTGGTTATAGTGGCGTGGGGATTGCGTTGCACACACATACTGAGGCTGCGCTACTAGACTGGATCCCTGTCAACAGTTGACCATGCGTGATCTGACTTAAAACTTCAGTGCGGCTGTCCAGGCGAAAAGCCAGCAAACGCTGTCTGTTAATTGTCGCAGCGTACGCTCTCACAGATTGCAGCCGGAAGTCAGTTAAGGACGAGTTCCATGGTCAATTGGCTGATCTTCTCTGGAAAAAGCGCCGTACTGACATCGTGGTGCTCACCGGTGACTCGAACGCGCAGGCCGGTAAACTTGAAATAGAAGACCGTGAACTCGGTGGTCAAAACGGCCATGGCACTCGCAAAACTGACAACGTTGCGCCGGTCACAGTCTCCTTCTGTCGAACACTAGCTTTCGGGGATCATGGCGCCAACGCGCCACTTGGAGACCCCCATCACCTGGCCAGCCGTGGACACAAATTGACCACATCGCCATTAGCTATCGCTTGCGGGGTAGCATACAGGATTGCAAATCAATCTGGAGTACCTATCCCACTTCGGATCACGCGCTGATGTGTGCCATGGTTGCGCTACTTTTTGGTGGCTCCCAGCAGCGTCGCCAGAAACAGCTTGACGTAGTTAAGCTTTCTGCCCCAGATGTTCTCCGCGCTTTTCAAGATGCCTTGGCCTCAAGGCTGAATACTAACCCATGCACAAATATTGAAGCACACTGGATACACATCCGCAGCGCCATATACAACTCCGTATGTGGCTTCACCAGTAGTCCTGTCAACCACTGGATCTCTGCACGATCCCTCCAACTTCTCAAAGCCCGTCGAGCGATTCCTGTTACCGTTAAATACCATTCACGACGCAAAACTACTAACGCTGAGCTCAAACAGCTTCTCCGGAAAGATCGCGAAGCCTGATGGACGCAGCGGGTCATTGAGATGGAGCACCTCGGGAAATTTCTGTAAGCTTTTGCTCCTGATCCGATTTACTGGCGGCAAAAGGCCGACTGTAAGCGAAGTTTATGCGAAACCAATGGCGAGCCAATCCACTGTCAACAACGCCGACTCAAGCGTTGGGCAGAGCATTTTGATCAGCAGTTTGATTTGCCACATGCACCGATGAGTTCCCATTCTGGAGCCCAACGCGCTACCTGGTGTGTATACGCTTCACCACTATCCGAGGGTGAGGCTGCCCACGAGCTTCGGCTTTTAAAGCGCTACAAAGCACCTGGCCCTCCGGCTCTTTACAAAGATGGCGGCCCATCACTTGTTCAGGAGCTAACTTCTCTCCTCCAAGAGATCTTGGTCACTGAGGTTATCCCAACTGATTGGAGCCTAGCGGATATCGTGCCGGTCTTCAAAAAGGGTACACGAACTGACTGCGCCAATCACAGAGGGATTAGTCTCATCTGTGTTGCTTCCAAGGTGCTCGCAGTTCTGCTTCTGAGGAGGCTCAGCCTGGTACGCAAACAGAGCATACGTGAAGAGCAAGCTGGGTTCCGCTCAGGTCGGAGTTGCATCGATCACACCTTTACACTCCGCCAAATACTTGAGCGTCGTCAAACATTTGGCCATTCAACAATGCTTGTCTTCTTCTACATACGAGCCGCGTTTGATTTAGTTGACAGAGCTGCTCTCTGGATTTATCTACTGAAAAGGGAGGTGCCCGAGAACTATGTCACTTTACTTCAAGCCATCTACTCTCAAACCTCGGGCAGTATGCGGATGTATGGCTGACTCCCCCCCCCTTTAATATCATTAGTGGCGTGAGACAGGGTTGCTCGGCATCTCCTTTCTTGTTCAATTTCTCTATGGACGAAATCTTGGAGAGTGCTCTGGAGAATTGCGAACCCAGCGGCGTCGAGCTGCTTTCGGGGGACCGGCGACGGGATTTGGAGTATGCAGGTGACATCGCCGTAATATGTAATTCCTCACAATCTTCCCAAAATGTCTTGTGTAGTTTGGAGGTATCTTCACACATTCGAAGTGCAAGGTCTTCTTACAGCACTGGCTAGGTGCTGCTCCTATCCTTACCCTATCGGTTCATCCATTGTAAGTGGTAGCCATGTTCGTTTATCTCGGAAGCTGCCTCAGCTCTAATGGTTTAACGGATGAGGTCCCTTTGTGCGTCTCTAAGGCTCGAGTTGCTTTTGCAAATCTCCGCCATCTCTGGTGTTGAGGTGATCTGAGTCTAGCTCTGAAGGGCCGAGTTTATAATGCCACAGTGAGAGCAGTTCTGCACTGTGGCTGCAAGACTTGACTGAGAGGCGGTCTGTTTTAATCACCGCTGCCTTCGGAGCATCGCTGGTGTACAATGGCAACATCCCATTAGGAATGAAGATATTCGACGGAGGATTTTTCAGATTAGACACTTTTCCGGTCACTGAGCAGCATAATTTCTCTGCACAGACTCCAGTGGCTTGGGCATGTTCTCCACATGCCTGCTAATTGTTTACCTCGCCGTGCCCACTTCGCGCTCGCAGAAGTCGACTGGAAGCGAAAGCAAGGTGGCCAACATATGACTTGGGCCAGGAGCATGAAGGAGTTAACGTCGAAGTTAACCTTAGTCTGGCGCTCTCGGCTCCCTGGCTGGGGTGTGAAGGACCCGGAACACGCATGGCTGGAAACACTTTCGGATATGGCAATAAACCCTGCGCAATGGTGGACTTGTTGTGACTCTATTTCCATGAATATCATTTTTTCATTCCTCGGTCTTTGTATGTATATAGTATTTCCCATACGTTGTGGCAAGGTACCATTTGTACTATTGTTGATGATATATATATATATATATATATATATATATATATATACATACATATACATATATATATATATATATAACCGATTTGTGGCTGCTTTCCCTATCATATACACATACATCATTTGTGTATCATATCTTACATCACATTGGATTCTCAGATCTTTCATCTTACACACAAATATCTGGTGCCTGTTTCCGTGCCTATTCGTTAACAGCAGTCACGTTTTGCCTACCAAGTTTGTTGCCCTCCACTTTGTCACTTATGAAGATATCAGACTATTTGCTTAATATCATCTTCGATTACATCTTATTGTCCACTAGCGTATATGATCTGTTGCATTGGACCATATGTCTCCTATTTCACGTGCCTTGCATTATTCACTAAATGCATGCGTTGCTGTCCCATTGTTTTTCCATCTTTTTACTCCTTTCGGCTCAGTTTTGCCTGATGTTGTCCCCTGTTTACGTGATATGGTGTTGTATTTAACCCATTAATGTACTGAGATCTCATGGAATCGGCATCCATCACAGCTCTTCATCAAAGCCTTTCTCGAGGATATGATAGGGTACTTGATACCTATTTTACTCAGGAGTTTGCTTATCTTGTGCTACAATGTACTTATTTGAAATACTGATTTTGACTAAAGTTTATTGCGACCCAACCCTAATTTAAGCGCCCTGTTAGCGCTCATTTTCAGTCGTGCCACTGCATCAGCATTGCATCATTATTCGAATAATTCAATGCGAGATAGCCTGTAAGCTCACACGTGTGGATCCGTTTCCCACATTAAACTCTCTTGGGCCGTGGAAGCCGTACTCTTCACCCGTTGTTCTCACACGCTTACATCCACCAATCATTGGCCTCCCCTTTCAGCCGAATGATTGTCACATACGCTACACATGGAGCGATGAAGATTCCTCCACATTTATTCCAAAGGATTATGTTTGACAACGACAGGCTTATATCGGACCTGCAGTGTTTGTCGTTCGGACAAATTTCTCAGTTTTTCTCAGCTGTGTCGTTCCAGTATCTATTACTAGGACTAATCTTTTCGGTCAACCAATCTAAAGTGGGTGTGTTTGGGGATTTTTCACTAAAGCCCATCTTCATTGCACTGTTACTGTTAAGTGTGGGCCGTAGTCCGATAGACGAAGCAGAACGCGCAGGCGTAGTGTGGAATGGTTTAATGAAAGCTTCCTATGTTACAGTGGCTAAAAATGCCAAAGCGGAAAACCCATGAAATAATGAATGAAAGCCAGGTCATTGTAAACCAACCATGTGAGCACCTGTGTCCACGATCAGTATTAATGTGCAGTCGTGACACCCCCCTCTTCCATGGTAAAGACTGCAGACTCCGGCTTGATACCGATCAACTGGCACAGGCGTGTGTTTTTAACATCTTAATTTAGATTGTTACACATCTGTTTGTGGTTCCTTATTTTGTGACGCCGATTCCCCATTCAGTTTTGCGTCTGTAGCAGTGGATTGTTGACCACCCAGCTCATGGGGTTCGATTGAGCTTGGCAGGTTTGGTCAGAGGGGCGGCGCACCACACGGCCGTCCTCCAGCTGTAGCTGGTTACCAGTTGAGGACATAAATGTAGAAATTGCCAGCTTGCTTGTGTACACTGGGTCAAAATCATTGAGACACATTTCCACTAGCATCTTCTCTTCCCCATTACATCTTTTCTTGCTTTGCCTCCATGCTCCTTCGAGGGTTCGTTCGTAGTGGCCCGTCAACCATCAACATCGCGAGTGGCTTTCATGTCGACTCAGTCGATGTCAGGAGGTAAGAGAATAGGAGGCGATCCAAGTCATTTTGCAGAGTTCCATGAGTCTGCTTGAGGAGACCTTGCTTAACAGCCTGGACGTTCTGCCATTCCATTCGACGCGGGATGGTGCGGCGCAAACTTGATGTCCTGTATTTCGTTGTTACTCAAGATCTCTTGAAACTCCTCACGGTTAAATGTCCCGTTGTCGGTGCATACCGCTTCTAGGATACCGAAGATGGCGAATATGAAGCGCATTTTTGCAGCTTTCTACGGAAGTCACATGTGGAATGGATGTACTTCTATCAATTTAGATTGGGCATTAGTCAAAAGTAGACACCTCATTCAATTTATCGGACCATAATAATCCGCGTGTACACGGTGCCAGGGCCTCTCCGGCCAACGTCATGGATGTATCGGTCCGGGAGATTTTTTGTCCTTGGTATTTCTGACATTGTTCGCAATTTTTCAGCAGCCGTTCTATATCTTGCTCAGTATTAAGCCATCAAAAGTAAGCATGTGCCAGTGCCTTCACCTTGTTTATGCCAGAGTGTTCGTCATAAAGCTCTCACAGCAACTGGGTCCTAGTTTGTCCGGTGGAACTATGCGCGAGCCTCGAAATATACCGCCATCATAGAGACTTAACTCATTATGATGACAGGCAAATTGTTTCAGTTCGTCTGACGTGCTTATAGGTCATCCGATCATCAAGAACCACTTCACCATAGACAACACAGGGTCCCGGTCCGTCAGGCGCCCCACCACACTCCGGATGCGTGTCTTTTCAAGGTGTTGCATCAGTTTGTTAAACTCCATGGGTTCACTGTTCGTTTTTGCTTCGGGAGATAACTAACTACGCTTCACATACTGATACTTGTATCTATAGGTGCTCAAAAGTAGTGCCCACCTTTGCATTCGAGGCGAAGATATCTTCTGGATTCCCTCTCACCCAGTAGTGGTTTATGGTCAGTGTGGATATCAAGCTGTCTTCCCCAGACGTACTGGTGGAAATGCTTGAGTCTGAGAATAATCGCTAAGACCTCTCTGTCCAGTTGGGAGTAATTCCTTTCAACGGGTTGCAGGATGCGAGAGGAAAAAGCGATTAAACGATGGGAACCGTCATCCGTCCAATGGCAAAGGACTGCGCCTACTCCACGTGGGAATGCATCACGCTTCAGCATTAGAGGCTGGCTCAGATCGAAATGCACGAGCTGTGGGGAAGCGCTGAGCGCTCTTATTGTATCTGTGAAGGCCTTTCTTTGATCCGGACCACAGATCTAGGACTTCATCTTGTGCAACAGTTCGTACAAGGGCGCAAGTGCTGTTGAGGCGTTAGGTAAGAAGCGGTGATAGGGTGAAAACATCCCCCAAAATGATCGAAGTTAAACGTTGTTCTTGGCTTCAAGTGCGCCAAGGATGGGCTTGACTCTGTCTTGTAACACGGCAATCAGTTTTTATCGATGCGGTAACAGGTAACGAGCGGAATCCGAGAAAAATGTACTCTTGGCGTTTTTAAATTTGATCCCACTCAATTGTAGACGTTCGATCATAGTGGATAGCGTTTGTAAATGTTCAGCATCTGTGCGTCCCGTAATCACAATGTCCTCAATATAGGCGGAAATGAAAGGAATATCCTTGCTCTGCTTATCATTGCTACTTTGGTATATCGCCGTAGCTGAACTGATCTTTTGGGGTAAACTTTTGTACTGGAATAGACCCATGTGAGTACTTATCATAGTGCATGAGGTCTAACTCACTTTGTAAGTACGCGTGATTGAGGTCGATCTGCGTGCACTTCTGTCCGCCTGCTAGCGTAGCGTATAGATCCTCTATCCAAGGTAAGACATACTTATCCAGAATTAAACACTTAGTTTTTGGTCACCGCGAATAAATACAGAACCATCCGACTTCAGGACTGGTGCTGTTGGAACTCCCCACTCACTGTATTGGACTGGCTCCATTGTTCATGCTGATTGCAATTTCTTTACCTCGTCTTCCACCTATCTCAGGTAATAAGGTAGGGTACATGACCTGAAGAATCTGGGCTGAGTTCCCGGTCGTATTTTGATACTAGCCTGATATCCGTTCAATTTCCCCATTTTATCGTCAAATACCTCACAATATCAGTTGAGCACATTTTCCATGTGCTGATTAATGAACATGAACTTCAGTGTCTAACGTAGTCGGGAGGCATTTAGTCCAGTCGCGCCCGAGTAAGTATGGACAATCATTTGACACGACCTATGCCTGTAAGGTCCGCTTCTCTCCATGCAAATTGACGTGAACAGTGCCCTCTCCCTGGACCGGTATCGGTTATCCGGTGTATGTCCGCAAAATTCGTACACAGGGGATAACTACTGCAGCACTGATTATGGTAACTAGGGCACCAGTGTCAACTACCATCTTAACCAACTGACCTTCTATTTCCAGTTGCGCAGTGTAAGATGGTTGAATACTACAGATGCTCGACGTTGCGTTCCAAATCGTGTTTAGTTGGTCATCCTCGTTTGAAGGCTGGACGATCTTTGCGAGCTTCTTTGAAAATCGTAATGTCGGCAGCTTTACATCGCCAAACACGGGCCAAGTGCCCTAATTTTCCACATCGGTAACATGTAAAAGGCAATTCGGACCGTCTCGGGATCACAGTTTTTCGATCGATTGCTTCACTTGTGTCTGTATGAGGTTTCTTAGAAAATGCACTAGCTATTTGCAGACATTCTCCAGCTGCCGAACTATCTTGCAGGCCTTCTCCCAACTCCTCGTCGTCTCATCTTCCGATAACCGCCTTTCACTAGCCTATTTATTACTGATACCAGATCTCGGATACTGTAGAGCTGGAATTTCACTATACCGACACTGGCAGGATTTGCGGAATCCTCGCAAGGCAATCAATGACACTTTCCTCAGGCTTTTGACGCAAGATTGAGAGGGAATACCGCGCAGTGTATGTGTTCAGTCGTGAGCCCCATAACCCGCTGAGGACTTCTAGCGCGCCTTCTCACGGACGTGGAGGGCATCAAAGTTCCTTTGGCCGTTACTCTCCAGAAATTGACGCACTTTAGCTTTTTTGCTATTTGAGAATACCGTATTTTGTTGAAAAACGGATACCAACTCCAAATAATCCAAAAAGTGCGGTTCCAGGTATCCGGTGTTCGTTTCTCAAAAGGAATAATAGGAAGTACTGTAGGTAGGCGCAACATCGCAATAATTTAACCCCGTCGCCAGTATGTTAAGTAGCCCGATGAACGTAGCAGATCGCGCAGGCGTAGTGTGGAACCGCTTAGTGAAAGCTTCCTACGTTACAGTGGCTAGAAATACCGAAACGGCAAACCAATGAAACAAGGAAGAAAAGCAAGGTCATCGTCAACCAATCCTGTGAACGCCTCTGCTCAAGATCAGTATACAAGTACGGGCGTGACAGTTGCGTTGTCTGCTGCATCCTTTGCATTTTGTCACATTGATTAGTTGAACTTAACTTCACTTATTCGATTGAATTATGTACCTTTGTTTGACTCCATTCAGTATTTCATTCCCGCCATCGTCCGTGTGATAAGCATTTTTAGTATGTTTGCCTCGCCCATTCCCTCAGTGACCTCAAAGTTGTCTATTTAACTTTTGTGCTACAGGACACCCCTGGCTCCATACAATCAGTTAAAGAACAGCCTATCAGTCTTTTGGATATGTGCGCGCCTAATGTGCCATCCCTTGTGGCTCCCAAGTCCCGCAAGCGTCCAGCGATCAAGAGTGATACTCATTTTGAAGACACTCTTCGGCAGATCAGCAGTTATCCCATCCACACAGCTCCGGCCCCGGAACAAGTGTTGCGTCAGCTGATGGACAAAAGTTCCTAGACAAATACATGCACATTTGTATCTACTATCCCCAGAAAGCAAATTGACATATTTTTGATGTATTTTCTTTTGCTCGGTTGGCTTGGTGATGGATTGGTCCTTGTTGCTTTCCCCAGATGTGGATCTATGTGGACTATCTAACACACCCGCCGAATTTTTGGCAGAAGGAATCCTGAAGGAATTCATGAGACACCATCCGGCTTTACTAACTGGCTTATTGATTCGTGTAAAATACTGGGGAACAGTAATTGGTCGGAATGATAGCATGGCAGTTTATCGCTAACAGTGACATTGCTTTTTCTCCTGCTGGATGCCTGGTACTAAGAACGGCCAACCAGCTCGCTAAGTAAGCTGTTGGTAAGCGCTGTCCGTCTCGATCTGCTGACAGCTTGAATAGAGTTCCATTTAATCTCCTGAGTAACGCTCAACTTTCCTTAACGTCAGTATATTAACTAAGGCAGCATGGTACGACATGACATTTCATTGTCCTGTTGGCATTAGCCAAAATACACCTTGTAAGCACCGACGGTGGTGGGTGACTGGCCCAGTGAAAACGCGTTCTGTGTACGCCGTTCTTGTACTCTGAACTAGCCTAGAAGTAACCGACTCATCTAATTTACTTGCGAACATTTCGACGGTGGTAGCATTTCGACCAGATCGGTCGTCAGCGAAAAGTACCCGTATTGGTGAATCCACATGGATCAATGGCTCCAGGAATGTACTCCCATTCTCGGCAGCAGCTGTCTCACATCACTGGTATTCGCTTGCGCATGCATGGTGGTAATCGAAGCCTACTGCCAGGAGTTTCGTAGCAGCGAACGCCAGTTGCATTAACGTGACTGTGGGTTATCTCCACGTTTGCTTCCAGAGCAACTCGGCGCTCTGAAAGGACGTACTCAAATGGAATGCTTCTGATTTCGTCTCCTTTCCCGGTTGCCATACAGCGGGGTTGTGTACGAACGAATATACCGGAACACGGTTGTTTTTAACATGCCGGATTTCTTCCGTTTGAGTGAAATAAAAACCATGATACTAAAGGTTCGCAGTGTGAGATTGACGCCACTGCTGCTCCACCGTCTTCGAGTTTCCGAGCGAGAAATCGGCCAACACATCATGAGTCTGCTCCTTAAGCACAACGGAATAGTGAGTAAACTTTACCAGGCTCTTTTGCAAATGCTGCAGAAAAGGATTACTTTTGTTGAGCCAGTTGGGAAACCGATAAGATGAGTGCGCTCACTGGAACGACCAAGCGCACTGCTGTTAGATCAGCCCCACTACTGTCTTATATTACGATAGTGAGTACACGTGACGAGGTGAAGCAAGCTTCTTTACCTCAGAAAGCTGAACCTTTTATATAGCGAGGGAACCAACCACGACACTGTTGCCACTTGACTAAACAGAGCCAATAAGACTCGAATTAGTTACGAAGTGAGCGGTAGCGTTATGGAACAATAGTTAATGCCGGGTCAATAAGGGTTTGCTTAACAATTGTCGTCTATTGGTCAGAGAGCGAAGCACAAAAACAAAGATTTTACTTGGGAGAAACCGATAACAGCAAACTGGTGGCATATTAGAAGCAAAATTTTTGAAACGGGATGGCACCATGCAAACCAGCGCAGTAGGTTGTTATAGCTAACGCCTCATGTAAAATAACAGTCAGATTGCTCATTCGTGTACGCGGGGATTGCAGCATTTGTATCACCGTTTCTGCAATGAAAGTGGCGTTTCATAAACCTGATGTTGGAGTAACAAAGACAATAAAAGCGTTTAAACGTGCTATACCCTGGAAGGTAGATGAATATTTTACCTCTAAGGCGTTGGCTGTATGTGTATACCCACCAACCAGTGAGTGACAGAATTCTGCGTTGCATGTCACCAAACCTATTGACGTGTTCGTGAGGAGGCTTGTATTTCTAATAACATCGTTTCACCAGCTCATATTGGTGTATCAACTTGTCTCCGTAAACCTTTTGCAAACGGTAGTCTTGTTGCTGTCCAGTTTTCCGAACTGGGTGTAAAATCGCCATGTCAAACGTCTAAGGTGCAAACGCTTTTTTGTTCTTCTCAAAAAGGACTTCGCTTTAAGGGGTCGGTGAAGAGCTTTAAACACTGATGCCTTCGTGACTTGTGAGGTGTGGACTTTTAAGTGTTAACCATGCTATATCTGGCGTGCACTTAGTCATGAATGCTCATCTCGTTTTTTTCGACGAATACGAACAGTGCGTCGTAGTGTGCAACAGATGGTTCTTCGTCGGGATACTCGGCGTAGTAGATATAATCAAACAGAACTATCCAATGGGCTACATACATCTAGCCCATCAACCTTGCGTTCCTCACTGATGAGCACTGTAGCTCTAGCATCGATGGCTTATTCGCTTGTCCGAACCTAGTGTGAGCGATGATGTGATTGTACAAGGGTGTACTAGAGATTAGCTCTTGCAGATAAACCCTGCACTGTTCACTTTCGGTTGCTGTAGTTTCCAAATCATGGATATTGAACCTTCTTCTAATGAGAATATGGCTGTGTTTCTATTTCACCATAACACGCAAAGCCCATATTATGGGGAAACCGTTATCTACCAAGAGAAACAACGATTCTAAACAGCAAACGGGACTAACAAATTGATACGTCAAAGCACATCAACGAGTGGGCGCCGCGAAACGGATGTTTGCGGCCATTAACTTTTACGTTTACGTGTTTAAAATTTGTCACGCCTCTGCCGTTCACTTCTGCAGTACAGTCTATGGAAATGGAAGCAATGCACTCACGACTTACAGCATTTCCTTACAACATTGGTTTAATGATCCTTTGTAAATCGGCCAAAAGGCTTTAGACATACAGCAGAGTCCTTCATTTTTGGACTCTGTATGGCTCGTGCTTGAGCCTAGACGCATTTCCGGCGTATACCCATACCCGGAAGCTACATCTAATTTGTTGCCACTCGTCAATATCTCTGGTACTTTAATCACCAAAAATTTGCGAAATGTGCGCATCCATTTAGCCTCACCAACAGCTTTGTTATTTTCATGCTGGAGTGAAATCTACAGGACTACGATTATTAAGAACAACGACCAATAGGTCGAGAGTTTTCAAACCATCCAGTTCGAACACATACTTTTGTTGCTTTTGGTTTCGAGATAGAAGACATGCTTACGTTGATGTCAGACTCCTAGGAACCGACGATAAAATATCCTCTGTGAAGACGGACATGACAGACTTGTGTCGAAACGACGTAGACGAAACTGAACCGTACCCGCAACTCAGTTCACGGCAAAATGTCGAACTGTCACCAATCGTTTGCCTTCCCGTGTCTGGTTGGTACTGCTGCGTCATGCTTACTCTCGGTAGTTTCAACATGCTTATCTTTCTTTGGACTTCTAATCCACACCAGAAAACAATCTGCCATTCGCCAACGCGGCCGAGCTCAATCTCTGAGCTAGGATAGGCATGTTTTATACCTTGGTTCTACACAAAGTATTCAGAATAACATCCGTTATTGCCTCCCAGCTAGTTCCAGAAACAGACTAAATATTGGTTAGATTCGCCTTTGGGAAGCAAACTGTTGTAATACCGAGCTATTTTTCTGTTTCCATTGAAATATAAACGTTTAATTTTGCCGATGTTCTAAGTATACTGGATTGGGACTACTGTTTCCTCATCCGCAGACTAGAGTGTGAACAGTATTGGAATCTGACACTGCCTAGACACATTCTCTCCGTTTTGAATTACACGATTTTTCCTACCAGACGCAAGGTTCCACCGCTAACCGATTGCGGATTGGATCGTCTTAAGACTGCATTTCAAACGACACGTAACGTAGGCCTGCTAATCCAACGGTGTCCTCGAATGGCACAACTGCTTGCTTTTCTAAACATGTTCGAGTACCAAAGAATGGACTAAGAGGAGTGCTTAAGTCAATCGGGAACTTTAAAATTTTGGAACCGGCAAATGTGTTTATTTTTCAATAACTTCTCGTACTATATTTATCCACGCTCAGGCGTTTCAGTGACTTTTGGAAGACTGCAGCATAAAATATTGTCAACGCGTCTGAAGTCCTGACTTAATTCCAAGTGGTTTTCGGCTGTCTGGAAACCCTAAAAATTTTCGAAGTTAGCACTTCCACAGCGAGGATGACGTGAAGCAGATATATATAAACTTGACCAATAAACAATTGGCACCGTGCCACAACACATGCATAACAACGACAAAAAGGATAAGAGACAGTCAGAGAGAAGGTTAGGTGAGTTCATGTGTTGCATAGGCAGTGCGCTTCCCGATTGCCCAGGCTTAGGAAGAGTTTACTTAAGGTATCCCAACCTGAGCCTTTGGTCATAAAGACCTGATCTGCAAGGCAGCGGAGCAATTCACGCATGCTACTGATTACGAAGACCGTTGGCGGATAGGTGGCTTATTCGCTTTCTATATGTTCTGTTGGGCGGCAGAGCATATGGTGCGCTGAGGCTTGTGGTGGCTGCATCCTGACAGATGATCTACCCACTGCTGCTACTGTTGCGCCATTGGCTAATGTCCTGGGTGCCTCCTCGTGTCGACCGCTGGGTGGGAGTTGGGTTTCTCCCCGCTAAGATCCAGGACACCAATCCGCATGAGTCAGTGAACTGACCATGTACTAGACCCGCTGCCTTTCGGGTGTACATTTAATCGAAGGCTTTGGCTGACGACCAGAGTCGTTCTCCTGTCAGGTGTGGACGCCCTTCCAGTATCCTAGTCCATCCTCTTCGGAGGTTAGGAAGTGGTCTACGGCCGTCTTCTCGTAAAACAGCCATGGGAGACAACAGGTCTACGAGTTATAAGCTCACAGCTCGATTGGCGTAGAGCACGAACGCCACGCATTGTCTCTGACGGTGGGAGGGCACCTCCGGGTGTTCAATGGTTTGCTACTGCCCGCCTCAAGCCAGGCCGCACCTGGTCAAATTAGTGCAAACCCGCCAAAATCTTCCAGCGTCTGGCCGTGATCGCAGGTGCGTATCCTACTACGGTCGCAAAACATATACGAATCGTTCCAGTACCTCAAAGGCTGCGTGTGACGGCCGTCAA